ATATAATATAATATAATTACACCTAACATCTACAAGTCATTATTAAACAGACTGAAACAATACCTACCAAACTAGTATGTGGTACTGTTTTCTTATGGTCTTATGTTTTGACAACTAAAGAAATGGATTTATAAGGAGTATTTATGTAACACGTTCCAAAAACACAGATTTAGTTTAACTTATTTAGCTATTTGGTTCCAGTTCACTTTATCATCTTGGTCTTTTTATTTAAGAAAAATACAAACTGGTCTAATTCAAATTAAATTGTATTTAATTCAGTTTAGTTCCATCCATCCATCCATCCATCCATCCATCCATCCATCCATCCATCCATCCATCCATCCATCCATCCATCCATCCATCCATCATCTTTACTTGCTTCTTCCTTTACGGTCCACAAGGGTTGCTGGTGCCCATGTAAGCTAAGATAATTTAAATGCAAATATGTCTATCTAGATACAGATGTGCACAACTATGTTCGAAAATCAACAAAATCTATCAAAAACAGGAACAGTAATTATGTCTCCTTAAAGACTATTTAGTGTCTGAGCTGRTTACAAAGTCCCTGAAACTACTATCTGAAGAATGCCACAAAGGGCTCAACCTGAACATGCTATGCTTTCAGATCTCTATGTTAAATTATAATTGCCTGGATATTTTTAATTTTTCCAACATTTTGCAAGGTTAATGTGATTCAAATTCAACACAGAACTTAATCTGAGCAGCTGCCGTCACATTAATGCACACATACATAGCAGGAGGTTAATTAGGCAAATGATCCACTGTTTAAGGAAGTCCAGGCAGAAATGTTCATCTGAAAATTTCCTTCCTTGTGCTTATGATTATTACCGGTGGCACCAGAGTATGAATAATAAAACAAGGGAGAACAGCGATCAGCGTGACCTGTTTACGCCACAGACAGTAACTTGTGTTTGAAATAAACTAATCTACACCTCATTACGTCTATAAATTTGTGGATTTTAACAGTTCTTTTAAGGAAAAGTTGTGTCCAAAATATGAATTTAAAGGCAAATTTGCACGACCTGACCTGCTATAGGATCATGTCTTCACATACATCCATAAATTGAACTGAATAAATGAGATAATATGAAGTTTATGAATTCATTGATTTAGTTAACATTTAAAGATTGGATTAGACTCATCGTACACCACCTGCTACACAATCATTAGAATCAGGAGGGTCTATCTAAACATTTCACATTAACTAACTATATAAAACAGTCCAAGAACATTTCTTTCCACGAGGTTTAATCAATTCTGCATCGGATCTAATTGATTAACTGAAACCCCTTAGTGTTTCTCTTTTCATACAATGTTTGAGACTTTATCTYAGTTGTGATCTGCCTGCAAAAAAGAAAAAAAAGTATGTTTTTGTATTTCTCCACTTCAGCCCTGTGCTCTCAGTTCTTCAAAAAGTTTTTTTTTCTTCAGAGTCACAGGTGAATGCATCCCAGACGGGTGCTTGTTGAGAGTTATTTCAGTACTTACAAACTTAAAAGAGTTGGCTTGACGATCAGCCTTGAGTAAAAGCCTGAAAGTGTTCAGAAGCTGAAGTTTTACTTTTTTTTATTTTAAACATTTCCCACCTGCTCCTCAAAGAATTATGGCACCTTCTCAATTTATAAGCATATAAAGTAGCTGACACCTGGTACAAATTCTATATTATTATTATTATTATTATTATTATTATT